AAATAACGCATGACTCGCTCGAAATTTTTTTTTTTTCAAACGCTTCAACGGTTCTTCCCGATACCTTTCAACGAAACGAAACCTGGTTAATTTCAATGGAGGCGCGCGCGTCCATTGAAAACACGCGGAGAATACGAAGCGTTTTCATACGAGTAATCGGAGAGCGAGAAAGAAAGAAAGAAAGGAAGGAAGGAAGGAAGGAAGGAGGAAAGAGGGAGAGGAAAGAGGATTGATCCGCGAGGTTAATTTAATCGTAGCGCTTTGATTCAAATTAATTAAATACTCGATCGAGAGGGAAAGGAGGGAGGAAAAGAGAATGTAGTTAGTTATTCGTGCGTGCGGATGAAACACGAACGGAAATGTTGTGACCAAACTTGAAGAATATAATCGATTGTTATATCCTACGTTCATTTGATAGATAAAAACAATCTTCTTTTGAATAAGATTTCGCGGCAACGAGTTTTTTAATGAGAGATTGGTGGAAAGTGATTTTTTTACGTCGAAATGAAATAATTAAGAAAAAGGAGAAAGAGATAAAGAGAGGTTATTGGAGTTTATATCCATGGAGGAATAATTAATTGTCAGAGGTAATAATTGTTGAGCACACGATAAGAATATTCGATAAAATTTTCAATTTTCACGATACCTTTGAAACGATTGTTTCGTTTGTTCTATTTTCGTTTGATAAGTAAATAAGTATTTGTCGGTGGATGAACAAATTTGCAAACGTAATTGAATGCATTCATAAATTGTATTATCATTTTTTTAAATAGGTATAAAGATTGTAATTTGTGATTGAAATTATTTCAAAAGAATGAAATGAAAACAATTAAATTACAAGATATGGAGAATTCTTCTTTTAATTTTGATACGTTTTTTAAACTTTTTCCTCTTTTTCTACATCGTTAAAAAAGTGTAATTCTATCGCGGAAAATGTTCCCATCTCTACATTTTAAAAAGCGAAAATCACACAGTTTCAATCTTTGTAAATTGTTGCAATTTAAAAACTTTTCGTTTATTCAAACTGGGGAATCATTTTGATCATTAAAAACATCTTTCTCGTGTTTTATATCTCGCCAATTTCTCGTGGAAAATAGTAATATCGATATACAAAATAAAAAATTGATAATAATTTGAAACGATTCTCGCGTTCCATTCTTTTTTCGTTGCGTCACAAGTTCGTTACAAGTCGAATAAAATTTTCAAACTTTGCCAACTCTACAATCAAATTAATCGTTTGTTATTTCCTTCAGAGAGACGTGCAAACTTTATATCTTGTTCGAAACTTTCGAATTACCAGTAAAACACGTCGTTATTGCGTGAATTACGAATTCAGTTGCTCGATATCGATCCTCCTCCTCTTCGAAAATAAGAAAAAGCCTAAATGGCTCCAACCCTTTTTGCGACCACGATTAGGAAACGGATCGACTTTCAAAGCTGATTACCTTTGTAAACGATCCTCTCGATTAAAGAGGAGCTTTCAAAGATTAATGTTTTTCTCGTTTCAACGACAATAGGCGCGTTTTCGAGACTCGATAAAATCTGAGTTTAAAAAAAATTTTTAAAAGAAAGTTCGAATGCTATTGCTCCATAATTTAAAAAAAAAAATTCAATGGAAAAATTTAATGGAAAAGATAATCCTTATTTTCAGTGAAATTGAAACAAAGTCTCCTTTAAAAAGAATTTTTAGAATAACTAAAACACTTTTTTCTCTTCTTTCTAATATTTATCCAATTTTAGAATTAGGAAAGGATAATTCTCGTTTCATCGTTATAATTATTTTAAACAAAATTGGCTTGCTGCAAGCTAACGTTTCAAACATTACTGGCAACGTAAACAGAATCATCGACATTATTAGCAACATGAAACGTTCCTCGAGCACGATACAAACGCCTTCGACTGAGATCTAGTTAGGAAACGTATTCACAAGCGAGCAACGTAAACGTGAGAATAGATATTCATCAATATCAATGGATTCGCGCAGTAGCTGTAATTTTATACGCGTAGCGTATGCAACTCCTTTTAAAATTACAAATTAATCGCTTGTTATATCAATTCGACCGTGAGCTCATGTATAAATATATCAGAAATTAAATAATCGCGACACAATCTTCACTTTTCGACTTTTTCCATCGTTATTTATTCAAATTTTATTCACCATGTGTTAATCGCTCGTGAGACGTTTTCCCTCGAAATCCATGCGAATGATATGATATTTTCGATTGCACGTTTAAATTATTCAATAAATATTTAAATCGTCGATATTCATCGGCATCATCGGTTAATATTCATCGATAATACGATAAAATTTATCAAATCAATATTCATCGATGATACAAAATTGATTCTTGAATGATTCGGTAATGATAAGTAATTATAAAAAAATTCGATGGAAATTTATTTTCCTATCGAATCGTTAATTTTCACGGAATTTATCTATCTTTCGAGCGTATACGTAGATTGGAAAATTTGTATAAAAACGTAAATTGACTTTTCATTGAAACAAAAATAATATCCTATACAATTGAAAGATTAAAACGAAAGTTGACAAGACAAATGGATATTCGCATCATCGAAATTGATAATTTTTTTTTTTTTTTCGATATCTTCCATTTGGTGTGTAAATTATTTACTTGCCGACACGCGAACTATTATTTAACTTAAACAAACAATAATATGTTGATTTACATAATATTAACTCGTTAAAGATTGAACGTCGAAAGAATGCATAATAAAACTTTACCAATAATTTTTAAACCTATCATATATATTATGTTTCAATTTTAATTTAGCATAAAAGATATCTTTATTTATTAAACATTTTCATTTTTGTTTTCGATTAATTCAAAACTTTCTTCTCGATTGTACCAAAAATCGTGCGCCTTTTTCCACGATGATAACGAAAAATTTAAAAAGAAAAAAGTATCCCATTGATAATGTAAACATTTCATTTTTTTGAAACACGATAAACGTTGCTAAAAAAAGGAAAACAATTTAAGGCGAATTATATTTAACGGCGACGTTTAAAAACATCCCTTCGCAAAACTCGAGTAACAAAATTTGCATACCGGCTCGCGCGAGAAAACAGTTGAAGGAAAGATAAGTTGAGGGAGGAGGAAGGGGGTTAAAAAGGGAGAGAGGCAGCCGTAAAGAAACATCTTGTCGCGTGACAAGAGTTTCGTGTAAAATCCCTCGATAACGAGCAGCCGTGAAGGTGCAGCTACGACTTTAATTTAGAAAATACAGTCGAGCAATTAACTTGAAAGCGGACCAAGCACTCAGGCGCAATTGCGAATAACGTTGCTATACCTGCAACGGATCACAAGCAACCAAATATTGTCCAGTTTTTTTCAATTTATAAATGGAAAGATGGAAGGGAACCATTCGATTGGTCGTGTGCGTGTGATGGAATATCGAACACGTTGCGTACGCGTACGCGTGGATCGATTAAAATTAAAATGCAAAAAAATATCGCACGAAATATTTTTAGGAAAATTGATGAAAAGAAAATCAACAAATTCGTCGAGTATTTTCTATTTCCCGGATAATAATCGATTCCTTTTTTTTTTATTTTTGTAAAATTTTGTTTTTCAAACTCGAAGATAATCAATAAAATTTTCTCTCACAAATATAAAGTACGAATGTAATCATAAGTAAATTTTATAAATATTTGTATAAAACTATCAAAATTTATGGAACAAGAAAAGAAAGTAATGTTAAAATCTCTAATTCATTTAATATACAGAAAAATCTATGTACTATATTAACGAAAGATTCTTTCTAAATCACCTAAAAAAGTAATTCCCTTCAGATATGGACGAAGATTTTTTCCCTTGAAACAACATTGGAAACCTTGATTCACTGCAATTTTCAATCGTATGCAGATCTTTAAAACGATATTTTATTTAAAAAAAAAAAAAAACTATCATCACAAGATCATCGCTATTATTTTAGTGATGATCCAGACATTTAAGAAAAAAATAATCGTTTCAAGGATCACACACTACTGTTCTCAATTATTATTCATTTTTCAAGAAATCCACTTTTTACAATATCAAATTCATCGCAGTTATCTCACTCACGACGATCCATTTTTCAAAAAGAAAAAAACCAAATTCCAAGTCCACCCCTAAAAGATCATCGATAATTAATAATCCACCAAAAATCTAAAATCATCACCGTCAACACGAGAGCGATGAAACAAAAATTCCCACACCGCTCCAAAAGTGGTGCACAAACTCTTGTTTCGCCGTGTAAATTCCATGAGGCTACCGTCCATAAAACTATCTGAATAGGACCCTCGAAATCCTCGTTGCATCGTTACGTCCCATCGTGGTGCAAGTCGTCCGTCCCGTGGGAAGCATCACCGATTCATGAAATCGCATAATCGTCGGCGGACGAGTCGCAACAGTCGGTTCAAGAGACGAGACGAGACGAGACGAGACGACTCGGTCCACCTGTTGCGAATTCTGACACGACACGAGCGGTGCTATCGGTGCCAGACTGGACGGACGGATAGATGACTAGACAGGGGTCCGCTATCTTCCCACCATCCGGTGCACCATCCAGAGATCGTATCACGGATAAATTTACGGTATTTTGCGTTTACCTCGCCCCCATCCGCCCCGCCTAATCTTCCCTTATCGCGGCCCCAGACGTCCGATCGAGCAGGATTACCCTGGTCGTGGTTGCCAATCGAAATCTTACCGGATGGCCTGCGCTATCTCGAATGTGGTTGCGCCAATGTTGAGTGCCGGTTAAGTGTTGTCGTACTCGAGCCGGAGGATGGAGTCGTTGTACGATATTTTATCGTGATCTGCAGTATCTTTTGTTTCAGAATCGATGGTGAATTTTTGTATTTCGTGATCTTTGTTTTTGTATATTTTTATATTTTTCGTCGTATTTTATCGTGACTCTGCAATATTTTTTGTTTCAGAGGTGAGTATATATATATTTGGACGAATGATTCAGAAGATGATGAATTTTTGTATTTCGTCGATCTTTATTTTTATCGTGATTTCCAATCGAAATCTTGCGTTATCTTAAATGTGATTGCGTCAATGTTGAGTGTCGGTTAAATATCGTATTCGAGCCAGAGGATGGATACGGTATTTTATCGTGACTCTTTGCAGTATTTTTTGTTTATTTTTTAAAATCTTGCGTTATTTTAAATATGGTTGCACTAATGTTAAGTGCCAGTTAAATGTCGTACTTGAGTCGGAGGATGGATTCGTCGTACGATATTTTATCGTGACTCTGCAGTATTTTTTGTTTCAGACTTGAATATATATATATATATATATATATATATATATATTTGGCCGAGTGATTCATAAAATGATGAATTTTTGTATGTCATGATCTTTATTTTTATCGTAATTCCCAATCGAAATCTTGCGTTATCTTAAATGTGATTGCGCCAATGTTGAGTATCCATTAGATGTGTCGTACTCGAGCCGGAGGATGGAGTCGTCGTACGATATTTTATCATGATCTGGAGTATTTTTTGCTTCAGAATCAATAGTGAATTTTTCTATTTCGTGATCTTTATTTTTATCATGATTCCCAATCGAAATCTTGCGTTATCTTAAATGTGATTATGTCAATATTGAGCATCAGTTAAATATTGTGAATTCTCGAGAATGTCGAATCTCTGATGAATTTCGTACAATTTTTTATCGTGACTCTTTACTAATTTTGTTTCGATTTTCAGAGTCGATATATATATTTGGTCGAGTGATTTAGAAGGTGGTGAATCTTTGCATTTTTCGTGATCTTTATCTTATCGTGATTCGAAATCTTGACCTGTGCTATCTCGAATGTGATTGCGTCAATGTTGAAGTGCCGGTTGAAAGTTTCGTACTCGAGTTAGAGTGAATTTTTGCATTTACATATGTAATTCATCGGCCAGTAAATAAAAAAAATATCCTACTATTCCTTCAGAAAAATAAAAAATATCCTACGCTATAATCATGCTTCGATTATATACAGGATGTGCCCGGATTAAATTGCACCAATTTGATGGTTTGCATCTGCATCTGGTTTTATGAGTGTAAAATAAGAGAAGAATATTATATTACATTGCATACTTAGATTTTTATCGTTCAAACGTCAATTCGCGACAAGAGCTAATAGAAAGGATTAATAGTGCATGAACAAAAATAAGATAAAAAAAATTCGGAGAGTGATAAATTCAATTTTCCTGTAAAATGTCAAGCTTATATTCGTAACAGTACCTTGAAATGGAAACATAAACTTCTTTTCGATGTGACAGTAAAGCATTTGCAGATTTAAGTTTATATAATAACATTCCTTTCTTATTTTTTACTCATACCAATGCAAAATTAATCCATTCTGTATAATTTAAAGAATGTTGAATTTTTTTGATCGTCTGTATTGCAATCTTTGTTCTTATCGTCATTATCACAAAATCTTATTTGAATTTCTCACGATTTTATAATAAGAATGAATAATCTATAAAAAATATCGAACTTGATCGAGTAATTTAAAGAACATTGAATTTTTCATGGATTCGTCGCGTATATCTTTATCCCTACTGTAACCATTACAGTATGAATTTTGATTGGGTCGATTTTTAAAGAATTACGACGAAGAAAAATATCGCTGTAATGCCAGGAATTGTGGATTCATCGCATCGTGCGATCGTTATAGAATTTTCTTTCGAGATCGTTTCGCTTAGCGTTTTTAAAGATCGATGAATTCGATTTCGAGACGAGCAAGGAGGTAAAATTTTATTTTCAGCAAAAAGAATTCTAATTCTAATTCGTCGAATCGAGCTTCCTCTCGATCGCGCGAGGAACATCCGGAAGGAAGAAAAGTCGAACGACCCGATTAGCATCCGTCAACTGAAGAAAACTCGCGATCGAGGGGGAGGGAAATTTCCAAGCGTCTCGAGATCTTAACGAGAGATCTTGAAATCGTTAGGGGGAGGCTCGAATTTAAAAATATCCCAAAGGAGTTGGCTCTCGAGGGAAAACGTAGATCACCTTGCCTCTCTCCCTTAATTACCTTTCACGGTATTGTGAAAAAAGCCGCATGACGAAGGAGGAGGAGGAAGAGGAAGAATGGAGAGGGGAAAGAAGAAAAAGGTCTGTCTCTCTCTCTCTCTTGGAAGAAGAAGAAGAAGAATTAATCCTTCCCCGACTCGTGACCTCTTCCATGCACGTCCGCTCGATTTTATCGGAGCCCGCACACGCTTTCAGGGCCGAATGAATGTTCGGGAAATGCGACGTTTTCCAACCAAGTGGAGAGATAATAAATTACTTCACGCCGACAAAAATTCTCCTCCCTTTTCTCTTCTTTTCCGGATCCGTGTACATTTTCGTTTCAATTATTCTCGGATCGTGACACATCTCTTCCAATTATATTGCGCATTATTTCGTGAACAATAATAATTTTTCCAACGATCTTACGCTTAATAAAATAAGATCAAAGAAGCGTGAGTTGTATCCAATATACGTGACCCAAATGAACGTACCCTTCGATTAAAAATACCGAAGGGTCGCTAAATGTTACACGGTGCACGTTTACACGTTGCTCGTTTTAAATTTTAAACCACGTTACATTATTCGCGAAGATAAAAGGAATCGATCTCCTACGCGCATACCTACCCAACCAACCAACTCTCCATAATCTCGTGATTCTATTTCCTCTTTCATCTATCGCTTATATATCGAGTATACGTTTCTTCTCTTTTCCTCGATTCTTCCATTTCCTCTCTTCTTCTCGGTCCATCCGTGAAGACAGTATGCAATAGAACGTCGAACAGACGCGAGGCCACCTCACTCCCGCGGTGCTTGCAGGTTCTTTCTCGTCAATTCGAACAATCATCTGCAATGCACTACGGAATTGAAGAGGCAACGCGATTGTAACACGCCGCATGTAAATGTTTCCCGCTCGCGCTCGCTCCTTCCACAGCCTTCTCCGCTTCTTATCCGCCCTTTTCGCTCTCTTGTTTAACGTCTCTTTTTCGCCCCCCTCCCCTCGTCCAACCAAACCCTCGCCATTCTTCCACGGCGACGTTCAATTCTCCCGTTATAAAGAGAGAGAGAGAGAGAGAGAGGAAGAGGAGAAGGAGGAGGAGGAGGAGGAGGGCAGCAATTTTCGCCGGTTTTTCAGATAAGCCCGACCTCTCATCCGTTTTCATTCTTTTTCCCTTCCTCGCTCCCTTTGATGTCGCGGAACGATATTCCCGCGCGCAGCAGAGGATATGCATGCATTGTCGCGGAGAGAGAGAGAGATTACACGGAGGGAGGGGAGAGAAAGACGTCGTAGTCGAATGGAATCGCGACTCGTTAAGCATCAAAGTTGGCGAAACGAGAATTTTACACTGGGAATTTGATACGCGGTGTTCGAGTGGAGGATATCTTCAGTGCCCTCCTCCTCTTGCATAGGATTCTCTCATTTTTTTTTTTTATCTTTCTTTTTTCTTTTTCGAATTCGAGCGTTTTATTTCGTCGATCGAGTTATTGGAATCCTTGAAAAATGGGATCGAAAAATTCTTCGTTTCGATCGTTTCGATGGAAATTATTTATCGTCGAATTGCGATCGAATCCGCGTTCGATTGGAAATGATTGGAGGAAATTAAAAAGTTGGGGAAAAAACGATAAATTTTATCCGTTTTAACGAACCGTGTGTCGCGTCCCGATAAAATTACAGGGTATAAATGGTATTAAGAGTTGGGAAGAGCTTCTTGTTGTTATCAAAGTTGGGGGGACGTAAGAGAAGTAATCTTGTTTATCTTGCGCTCGTCAATTTCAGTTCCCGTAATCGCGTTAAACGAATGGAACGAATGGCAATTATATTTCATCCCCCATGCGTGCTCGTATTTTTATTTGTTTTGTTGCGCCGTAGTTTATCAACTATTTTAACGGAGATAATTAATTTATATTCACACACAAATTATGTTATAGTTTGCGCACCAGAGAATCTTACTCTAAGAATCTTTCTACGATTCTTCAAACGCACGCGTTCATAATTTTATCGTCTATAAAAAGAGAATTAATTTTGTGTAACAATTTTGTAACCAAGAGGAAGAATCTTATTCTAAAATTCCATCTCGCGTTTTCCAAATCTCGTAATGCATTTCAACGCGTTTCGTAATATCACGTTTCACGTTATTTCGTATATAATTTTACTCGAATTTTGCCCGATTCTGCTCACTGTTTCATCTTTGCCTGCTCATTTCTCTCTCTCTCTCTCTCTCTCTCTCTCTCTCTNCTTTTTCCGTCTCTATTTCTCTCTAAATATTC